AGTCCAGAGTACATGTGGATAGTTCCTACTTGGTAAGTTGTGGGATGGAAGGGAGAATGTGGATGGGGAAGGTTCTGAGGACCTTGCAGATTCATTTTTATAGGTAGCCTATTGCAGGGACATGTGAGCACTGTTGTAAATGTGACAGACCGAAGTCCTGGGATTTTACTGATGTTCTGATATGTTTTTGTTGCCAGTCACTTTTTCATGTCTTTTATGTGGATGAGGCCTGATGAGGCATTTAAGTACTAACAGACAACCATTCTGTAAAGCATGGCACTTTTTACTCTTTTTTTTTTTTTTTCTTCCCCTTCTCCCAGCCGCTCTGAAGTAGTTTTATTTATGACAGTATGTACATGAGAGAAAGCAAAACATGAGGGCCCATTGTAGTCTGTGTCTTCTGAGATGCAGGTCTTTTCACATTGAGTTTGACTGTACGCACTGTTACTGCGTAGGGTAATAATTGTCAAGGACTTTTATCACAAAGCACGTACCAAATTTTTGTTTAAAATTCAAAATTCTTGTGCAAAATCAAAGGAGGCTGTACTAAATAATTTTCCATATATTCCAACAAAACCTCTGGGCTGTACTCCAAGAGTTTTTCAAACTAAAATCTTGTCTGTTCCTTACCTCTCTTTTTCCAGCTTCCTTCCCTCCCCAGTCAATAAGCTTCCCTATCTTCTTGGCTCAGGTGCAACATCAGGCTGATGTAGCTATATTGCATTTGTTTTAGGAAAACTTGCCTGTCTTCAACACTGTGTTGTGTCCTTTTCCTCTTCTCAAGCTTGGAATATGCTGTTGGAGAAGGTGAGAGTGTTTTTTGTACTAGGACGAGTGAAATTTTCCTGAATTTTGCACTGTTTTTTGTTTAGGACAAATGAAATTTCTTAGAATCTGCACGACACAATTGAATTTTTGTTTTAGTTATAATTTGAATTATGAACTTACATTGTGTGTTCCTATTTTCCTTCTGTGTATAGTGGTGACTTTAATTCTCTAGTGGCTCTACTTCATCTTTTAAGTGCTCCATTAAACAAATACATTATAATCATGGAAATTTTTTAGTTTGTAAACTGTGATTTGTTGAAATAAAATCCTCACAATATGTTGTTTGGCCAGGGTGACAAACATGGAGGATATTTTCAGAAAATTTTATTTTCATCTTTCAGTCCTTTAGTACAAAGCTCGATTTGATTTTCTGGTTTCTTTAGTCACCACAGAACAAGATGAAGCAACCAGAGTTATTGCTGGTTAAATTATCTTTGCAGTGGTTTTGTCTTTTTAGAACTTTACAAAGGCAGGAGTGAAAGGGGGACAGACAGCCTGTTACTTGCTATTAGTTGGTGTTCCCTTAACTGATGATCTGAAGTTTGACATCAATCTGTGAAATGTCAGAGGAAAGTAGGGAATTGCTAGGTTTCGTTTTACAAACTGGTCTACTTTTTCATAATTTTCAAGTCACTTTGGAGGTATTTGCAGATTTTTATCCTGCCAAGAGGAATTGATAGTTTCTAGTAATAATTATTATTTCCCATAAATAATGAAAGGCAACTGTTAGTCCTAGCTAAAACAACATTATCAACTTACGGATGAAATTTAATCCTAATAAATATGCTGGAGTTGAATGTAGCCTGGGCACAAGAATTTCTTCTCTAGGGAAAATCTGAATAGGCTTTCTTTCCCTCACAGTATGGAAAGGTATGATATTTCATGCCAAATTAAATAATATTTAAGAATTGAATTAATACCTAAATTCTTACAAGTAACTTAGGGAAGAGAGGCACACCATTAACAAACTACCTTTCTCTATTCCCAGACCCCTAAAAATCTCCTTCCATCCCACAAATAATCCACTAACCCACAATCTTCTCCCTTCCAATACCCTCATTCTTTTCTGATCAAAATTCATGCCATTCTAAAGTACAGAACCATGACTGAGATCCCACCTAACACCTCCTTCAAGTACAACCATATGAACTTGCAAGTGTGACAGATATCATGGTAATTTTCAAGGTACGAGCTCATGTTTAAGTTTTGTTGATATCATGGTGGAGAAAGCTGGGGAAAGAGTAGTTTGTTTAACTTGGAAAGCATTATTACTTCCTTAACACAGTGTTTTGTGTTAGTTCATTTAAGTGTCTTATGGTGGTGTCTGCTGCACAGGGATTGAATTAAAGAGGATTAACATAAATGTGAATATGAGAAATTCTGACTAATTATTACGTATGTATATATATTGGCACAAGTCTGAGGAATATATACGTATTCCCCTGCAGCAGGGGCCCAGAGAAGTTGGAGAATCAGTCTCCATCCTTGAAGATACTCAGAATTTGACCAGTAAGCTTCTGTGCAGCCCTTTTGAATTGGACTAGAAGTGTGAACTACTTGATCTCTTAAGGTTCCTTCCAGCGAATGACATTCTGTGGTACTAGAAAACTGACCTGTCTGTCTGTCTGCTGTAACATCTGACGTAGTTTAAGCTGCTCAAAAACACAGGCCATACCATCTCCTGGTATTCTAAATATCTGCTTATCCAGCGAAAGTCCTTCATTGAGCAGTGCGCCGTTGTTCCTGTGGGAGATCAGCAAAGTAAGAAAATGCTTTGCAAGTCTTTATCCTAGCATACAGTTAAAAAGGCAGTTGGGATAACCATGAATTGAAAATAGTTCTGACACCTCAGAGTTAATTGTGTTAGCCAGAATTAGTGCTATGTAAGAGTCATGCTTTCTTGAAACAAGGAGAAAGTACATTTCTAGCCCAGTTTCATACTTAATGACTCGTCCTCTCCCTGTATTTCCTTGCTTACAAATGCCTCTTTGAATTAATGCAAATAATGCAATGTGGACAATTAAGTCCTTTAGGACAGATCATCATTTTTATTGCTTCAAAAACACAAATAGAATCTTAAAGCACAAGGTAAAATCAGAAAATAGTTTAATTGCTTAGAGAATGGAGGAGTTTCGTGGATGGAACATATCTCTTCAGCTTGGAGAACATCATATGTTGTGGGAAAAAGTGGCTGGATAGATAGCAACAAAGGCATAGTTGGAGTGATGACTCAGTGAGACCGTGTAGCCGTGCTTTGTGCCTGACAGGTCAGCTTGGAGCTAGCCCAGGTGTTCTTGGTTTTGACACTATCCTTGTGCATATATTCAAACTGATCAGCATGCAAATATTGCAGAAGGCTTCGGAATACCAATGGCATGAAATTCCAGAGAACGAAGAAAACTTCTTATGTACAGGTTTTTATGGATGGGGCTTATGTACCCTCATATTTCTTACTTCTCACTGGGTGCACAGCCTTTAGTTTCCTGAATTGGCAGGAGTCAATGACAGCAGTAGATAACAGTCTTAGGCATATTTATGCCTGTGTAATATCTACTTTCATGAGTACCAAGTCCAGGCACCTCTCTTTCTCACCCACGTATGATGGCTCTGCCCATAGGTGCTTGCTGTATTCACTCAAGTCATCTCAATTTGTTTATTTTCCTGTTTAAAAGTTCTGTTAAAAACAATGTTCTGTCTTAGTTCATTTTGGGATACATCTGTTTAACAAATTCTGTTCTTCATCTTGTTGGTTTGTTGTTTATTTGTGTATTGTCTTCCAGTCAATATGAGACTAAAATGATTCTTCACCTGCTCCTCCTTATCAAGTGTTTCGCTTTTTACCTCTTGGTCCTTGTTTCAAACATGAAAATGTGTTAGCCAAAGTATATTAATCAATATTAATGGTAGAAAGAGTTCCTTTCTTGGTGATGGCAGATTAATATGTATTTACAGTTTTAAGAAACTGGTATTCATTATGTTTTTGGAGAGAAACGCCAGCTTTCTGATTACTTTTAAGTTATGCTCTTGAATAGATGTGGTAGTTTAAGGTCCAGGTCCATGTACTTAAAACAGGCTTAAAGGAGAGTTCTCTGGGTGATTTTGGCACCCACATGGTAAGTTTCAAAGAAATAAAATGCTCACTGCCCACTGAGAACTGTAAATGAAAGCTTTGTGTTCGGTTGGCTCTGCAATATTGATTTTATTCGTAGACGGATCTTGCAGCTGTTGCAGTCTTCTGAATAATAGTGATGTAGCCACATTCTGAATTCCATTTCAAATGACATTTTAAGAAGTTTATACTTCAAATAGGAAGCCTGTGCTTTTTAACTTCCGTTGAGTTTGTGACTTATCCTTATGTACCTCTGCCCTCCAGATACCTTGATTTTGCGCATCTGAACAAGTGACAGAAGGCATTTTTCTCCTCTCTTTTTTTTTTTAGCCTTTCAAAGAGGATGTTAAGCCAATGTAATATTAAGTCAGAACTGAGTTAAATGTCAGTATCTGCAGATTTTTCATGAAGTGAGACTTCTAAAATGAGAATGTGCTATTTTGGTTTCTTCAGCATTATTTATGTATTAATTTATTTTTCAGCCTTAAATAACATTATTTCTGAATTTGGGGTTTTGGATGTGGAAAATGTCTGTTTGTCTTTTCAAGACCTAGTTGGTGTTTATACTGTGTCAGATTATGGATCATAAAATTATTGCTTGATTATTGTGTGGCTTTAAAATATGTGATAAACATGCAGATATGCACTTAAGGTAATAAAGTAGTAGCCTGACTTTACAGATATCAGAATGAGTTCACATGGTATCTATTTACTTGTCAACAGTCAGAAACAATATTTTTAATATAAGCCACTTACTCCATTCTCTTCTTTGTAGTGCTGCATCTTTGCCAAACAGAGAGATATTTAGACCAATATAGCTTCCATATGTGCTCTACAATTTGTTACTACTAGTTGTTTTACCCATCACCGTTGCTGAACAATAGTAGAAATTTTTTCATTTGGGAAAAGACATGAACATCTTGTACTGAACTTTAGTATTTTATTGTAGACTTTTTTAGTTGTTTCTTTTTGTTGAAAGTGTGGTGGGAAGAGACCTCCACCGTGTAAACTTAACAATATTTAAGTAAATTTTTTAGTTAAATGCTTTCAACCTGTTTTATAGGGTTTAGTTTAGCAGCTTTTAAGAGGAACAAGAGGAAGCTGGAGTTGGCTGAAAAGGTAGAAACTGATCTTATTCAACTAAAGAAGAGAAGACAATCAAATGAAAAGGTTAGTTTGTGTTTCAAGTTTTATTGTCATCCTAACTTTATAGCTGATGATGAGTAATCATGTTTTATTTATGATTAGACTAATGAGGCATTCAAAGACTCTTCTCCTTGACCACCCAATATGTTCAGATGATACCATGATAACTTAGTGAAGTTAGAACTTTATACCTTGCTACTTGAACACCAATCTCTCCCTTTCTGTGTTAGTGATATGGAAAATGTATTTTGCATATTTTGAAGTGTAAATATAACAAATGTAAACACAAACAAATAACTGTTCACTGAAACATTTTCTTTAGCATAAGATATCTGTCAGTGTTTCCCACTTTTTAGTGTTTTCTGAACACACTGCATTATGGAGCTGGAATTGGTGAAATTTGAAATGTCAGGTAGGTAAACATGTGCATCTGTGCATCATCTAGCATTGACCTGGCCCATATTACTTGTACTGGAAGACTACTAGGACTCCCTGTGTTTCCCTCATTCTGTTACTTTGAACTTAGAGCCTTTCTTACAATTAGAAAATGTCTGTCACAGTATTTGTATTTACTGTTACATTATAGCTTACTAAATTAAATAATTAAATGCTTGTACTTCACCTGGAGCCTGTGTCTATTTGCATTGGCCACTTCTCTTTGCTTTGGTAACTGGACTGACTGCTGCCTTATTTAGTCGCAATTGTTGATATAAATAATGTACAAATCCTAAAACTGCTGAAGAAGTTGCATTCACTGTAGTCTGTGCAAATGCAAACCAGTGATAAATTCAGCTGTTTTCTTCTCAGATTAGGTCTTTTCCCTGGCAGGATGGTACTTTTCAGTTTTCAAGGAGGTAAGGTGTGAGGAAAGTAAGGATTGAGGAGAAAATAGTCACCAGTTTGAAACTTGTCTTGTTTACAGGACTTCATGTACCTCCTTTCAAAAGTTACTTTTCTAATGGTGTTAACACATAACTGAGGGAGGAGGGTCTTTGCACAGTGTTGGAGTTCATGTAATAAGGGACAAGTCAATGCTTGAATCATACGCCAATGCATGAGCTTACCAACCTGCAATTTGAAATTTCAAGGGCTCCAGAGTCATGTGCAGAACGTGTGGGAGACCCTCAAAGGCCAATGATGGTAGTAGAGGAGGTGATCAAATAGAGCTCTACTCATTGGTAAGTAATGCAGCAAAGTAACATGGTGGTTTTGTCAGTTTTCTGGGTGCATCCTGAGGGGGGCTGAGAACTAAACCACATCGTGCGGACTACTTGTCTTACTGCACAGAACGTAAGATAACTGCAGTTTTGCAGGCAGTTTAATTCTTCAAAATGAAATAAAATGAAAAATCAAATTCTGCAGGAGCAAGATTTACAGGAAAAGCAGAATAATTCTCTCTAAGCAGTTAGAAAGGAGATATTTAACAAGAGTGAGCATATGAACTGTGGTCGTAAAATTGTACTGTCAAAGTTACCTCATGTAAGAGATTTGAGAATATTTTTTAATGAGCATTTAAGAACTTGAATAATTAAAAATGAATATTCTTGTCAAGTTTAAGTTTGAATTGTTAAATGCTCATTCTTTTATTTGCTGTTCCTCTCTGGAGCTGTGGACTTTTCTATACTTGTGGGACTTGATAGCTATTTTATTGTCTGTGTCTAGTTTCAGTCTTTCACATATCTCAATTTTTACAGTTTAGCTACAGCTGTGATCTTCTACGCTGTACCCTGGTACAGCTTAGCTTCTGTTGCCAATACTGCACAGCTGTTATGAGCTGGTCATCTTTGTGTCTCTGAGGTTTAAGAACTGATGTTACTGAGAAGGAAAATTCAGAATTGTTTTGCCACAGGGGTGATAATTTCCTTCAGAAAGTTATGTGTGCCACATTAAAACAAATGTTTCCTTAAAGAAGTTTTCCAGCCTCCTAAATTTCCCATCTAAAAGTAAACAAAAGCAAGCAAGTTATACCACTGAGGAGACTGCAATTGCTTGTATGAAATATATCTTCTTTAAAGGAGATATGCTTAAGAAAGTTTTCATGCAATGCTTATGCTTTTAAATGCTTGCAATGTTTGATTAAGTATCTCTAAAAAATATTTGTGTAACTGCTGAAGGCAAATATTTTATGCAAGTGAGCGCTTGATCTGAAGATAGATGGCAGATTGAGCAAATAATTCTACAGATGCTGCAAAAAAGGCTGCAAACATTTTTTTCATTGTTGTCAGATGATATGGAAAGCTTCTGCTGAGCCTGATCCTTCTAACATACATTTCAGTTCATTACTCCATGTGTTTGATTTAAAATGAATTAAGGTAACACAGCAACTTTTAGTCTGGCATTTTTAACTTTGATGGAAATTAACTTTGATTTCCTAACTTGATTTTCCCATCTGTAGCTGTCTGTTAGGTATAATCTAGTTTGATAAAATAGGGCGAGCGATGGACAACAAAACTTGCATCCTTTAAGTGTTTCTTCTGTATGGAGAAATCATGGTCTTGTGAAGAGCTTTATCCACTCTGATCTTGAAAGCACCCAAGGATGGGAATCTGCACCTCCAGGGAGCAGCTTGCTCTGCTTCCATGCTGTCTTTTTAATTCCCTGAGTAGTGTTCTAATTGGGTTAATAATATCTGAACTCAGTTGTGGCTGAAAGTCGTAGCACGTCTGAAATGCATAGAAGGAAGTTTTCTTCAGGTCTTGTCTGAGACAAGTGAGTGTTTTGGAAAGACTTCGGGCAGCACCACCAGTACTGCATGCATGGTAACCAATCTGTTTTTACACATTAATTTGCACACTCCTATGAAGCGTTATCTGACTTTAATGTGGAATTTTAACTAATTGTTTGTTTGTGTGTCCTGCAGGAGAATGACTCAGGAACATTGGATACAGTCGGTGCAGTTGTTGTTGACCAAGAAGGAAATGTTGCTGCTGCTGTCTCCAGTGGAGGTTTAGCACTAAAGCATCCTGGAAGAGTTGGTCAGGTGATTACATGTTTTCTGGCTCTTTAGTCTCACAGTTGTGTTTTACAACACTCGTGTTATAGTGATATATAGTGCTGATACAGTTTATAGGCAGTATAGGTAAGAAGCTTTTTTTTTATTTACTTACCTTTTGCCAGAACTGCTAATATTTAATTTCTCACCCTTAAACACGTCTTTGATACTACAGATTGTCTCTTAAATGCTTAAAGCATTTATGAATAGGACTTCCAGCATTATTTACAGAGGTTCTCCAGCAATTTTATTTTTAAATAATCTTATGACTTGGTAGAAGTGATAAAGGTATTAAAAGAACAAATGAGATGTAGGCATTCTTTGTTGTTACTAAGCAAGAGAGTTTTTGAGTGCTTTAGAAATGTAGTTCTCTGTTAACTGTACAGATGTATTTTTGGTCCACTCTCACCATTGTCATAAGAGCAGTTCTCATACGAAATGTATTAAACATTTCATTTTGGAATAGAAAAGTGAAAGGGACTTTACATGAATAGGGCACACTTGGTACTATTTTGTCTTGATATCTGTACCTTGTTTTCGGAAAGGTTAAGTAAGGTTAAGTGACAACAGTATATCACAAAGTTAGCACTCGGTTACAATGGATTTGAATTTTTACTTGTATAATTTGTAATAATACTTAGGTTTTTCTTGGCTTTTTTTTTTTAAACCAAAAAGCTTGAATACTTAAATTTATGAAAGATGTTCTTTTCTTAGGCAGCTCTTTATGGGTGTGGCTGCTGGGCTGAAAATACAGGAGCTCATACACCTTACTCCACTGCTGTGAGTACTTCAGGTATTTGCTACTTTTATAAATCTTTCAAAATGTTGCTCAAGTATTTATTTGCAGTTTCTTTACAAAAACTGAATAAAATATTTATTTGAATAGTGAATTAAAACATTGACATTAATTCCATAATACATTCTATATTTGTATCATTTAGTTTATATATATAAGTGTGTGTGTGCATGTGTGTGTCAGTATTACCTTGAAATTCATGAATTCATTTCCACTGGTTTCTTACATTGGTCATTGTACTTAAAATCAACAAGCATCAGAACTGTCCTCTTTATAAGACCTCATCTTGTATTGAAAGCATGTGTTCTACCTGTTATACACTAAGGGATCCGGCAAAGAGTTGTTAAAAGCTTAATATTGTTTTAAACAGAATGCTTCTCTAACTGGAAGTCTTTGGTAGAGGACTAAGGTAATTTGGGAGTCCTTAAGATAAGAGGGTCCCTTGGATACAAAAATACTGCAAATGGCAATTTTTTCCATCAAAATAGTTAAGTATTATTTAAAGTGATTTTGTCCTTTGTCTCTTCATCTCTCAAATGGAAGATAAGAAGAGTATAATAAAAATAATAAAAGAGTAATTAAAAGAATTGATAAGTAGGGTAATAACTGATTGTGCAGTGCAAGACTGGAGAATGTAAGCTAAGACGTTTCTGACTTGTGAGGTTAAGATATTGAAAAAAATAACTGTGGTGTGTTTAAAAAAAAAAAAGGTATTTAGAACACAAGAGTTTTAAGATCAAATTATACAGGATTTGTGAAGTAAAGTAAAAGCTGTGGAAGAAAGTTAATTTCATCTCAGTGTTGTTCCTGGTTGTATGAACATAAATAAATGTAGCACTTTTTTCTAACTACTTATGTCAGGATGCAGAATTTATGATTTGGACTCTTGCTTAATGGTCAGTTATCTGCATTCATTGTAGGGAGCGATGGAACAGAAAATCTGTGGAGTTCAGTACTCGGTTCTCAGGATTACTGCTGAGTGAGAATCTTGTTACAGAATTAGTGGTGGAAGCAAAGTGTCAGGGTGTGCAACTACAGTTTGATAAAGGCTAAAGAGCATCAGAAATCTCCTGTGTTGCTTTTGCAGTAATAAAGCTTTTTAATTTCTCCTGATTTAAAGTGTCTCACACTGTTGAAAGCTTATGTCAGTGTTCCCCACTAGATGTAGTATTAATGAAAGGCAGGCATCTTTTTCAGTACAGCAAAGGGAACTCATGCTAACGGCACAAGTGTTGAGAAATATGTATCCTCTAGAAATATATTTAAATATTGTAGAGTCAGGGAACAGAATAGGTGTCAAGCATCAGCTCTGTATTGCAGATTGTTTGTGGAAAAGATGAGAAGGACACTTTTACTTAATTTTTTAAAACTGATCTTTACGTGTCTACTGGATGTAAGTCTATGCAAGTACAAACATCTCAGTGTACTTAAAGGAGATAGCTGGGTTCAATGATAGCCTTAAATAGAAATCTCCTTTTTTGCTGGTACCAATTTTGTATAGTGGTAAATAATGCTGCAGTATTTATAATTATCATATACACACATCAATATCTAAATATATTTCAGATCCTCCAGCTTCTAGGACGTTACGTTAATACTAATCCCAGTTAGTTGAAATAGACTGCTGGCACTCCATGAAGTGTGACCATCTTTTTACCCAGTGATTTGAAATTCAGACTAGCGGTGTTTAATTAAACTGTTGTTTCTGGGTTTCTGGCTTTCCTTTAAAGCTTGTGTGTGTGAGAGAGAGGAAGAGAAAGAGTGGGATATAGAAATGTTTACAGGAAGTGAGAACTCTTCTGTAATCAATACCATCCTTTTTTCCATTTTCAGAAGCTCATAATGTTTTATTTTGTAATTTATGTTATACTGCTGTTATAAAGTATATTGATGCCTAAGCATCTGACAGTGTGAACCATGAAGCTAATTGAGGGGTGGAGAAATAGAAGAATTAAACTATAGGAAAGATTGAAAGAGTGAAATGTACAGCTTGGTTGGACCACAACAGGAAGTGGGAATGGAGGCATAAATGTCTGCAAATATTCAAAAGGTGAAATTGCCAAGGCTAATTAAGAAAATACATTGTTAACATATTTCATTTCTGCATGAAAGTTTTAGAAAAGAAAAGGTGCTGCCTAAACTCAACAAGATTTTGAAGGCTCTGAATTGCCAGTGCTTCCTAAAAGAGGATAAATGCTGTCACTTGATATACCTAAAATCAGACTAGGTTGTATTTGTAGTTGTGATCACAGTTGATAGAACTGTTCAGTATCTACCTCTGCTGCAACAGTATGTTTTGTTCATTGCAGATCTTGAGATTTCCTTTTGAACATTATGAAGGACAATTTTAGAAGTGAAATTTTGAGACAACATGGGTCAAGACAACTTGTTTTATCTTATTATGGTGTTTTATTGGGAAATACAGTGGCATCATGCATGGGACTTTACGTATTTAATTGTATGGGGTTTATTTACCAGGTTTGGTATGCCTTATCACATACAGACATGCTTCTTCTCATCATGCAGGTCCAGAACATTGTTAAATAATGAAAAAACCAAAACCTTATTTGCAAATAATTTTCCCTCCCAAAGCTTTACAGTGTATGTTAATACCAAGTGGGAAAGTAGATGATTCACTCAGAACTGATATTATTTCCAAGAAATTAATCTCTATGTCAAATATGAGTAAGAATTTTGGTAAGTGCAAGTCATTACTGGAAGCTAAAAATGAAATTAGTGTAGAATGTGTTCTGCCACGTTCTGTTCTCTTTAAAGCAGTTCAGAGGTAGGCAACTTTATCTATTTTCCCATTGTGTGGGTGACATCATAGACTTTTTGAAGTTCTGGGTAGATTAATACATAGTTATAGAGAAAATGATGTTTTGCTTTGAGACTGGCTTTAGTCACTATGTAATCGTTTAGGATGCAATTTATTGACTTCTTTTTAGTAGTTATTAAACTGGATTCAAATGCCTGATTTAAGGAAGTCAGGTTCATGTTGGATGTATGGCAGCACTAGTTCTGATGTTGTGCACATACTGCAGTTTTCTCAAGGTGGCAAATGGGCTGGATAGCAGGCTAATATTTGGAACATCATTGTTTTTTTTTTCAAGAGAATACTGAGATTGGCTGTTGAGTCATCAGCTAGGTCAGTGGTGCGTCTAAACTGGTAAGAGAAGAAACGTTTCAAGGCTCTGAGCTTTTTAATAGATGATGTTCCTGTCAGAAGGCTGCTGCCACACGAAACCATGCCCTTGCCACTGCTTACGTAAATCTGTTTCCTCATTTATCTGCTCTGTCTTCTCTTGGGCTGATTTTGTTGTTATCCTAAGCTCAGATTATATGAAATATTCTATTTCAGTCCTATCCACCTGCATTTCTATCTCTTCTATCCGTGGAAATTGTTTCTAAATTCTAAATAAAGTATGTCATAACTTTGCACATCTTTTCCTTATAATTTGTCTTTAAAATTTTAAATTTGGCAGAAGTTTCTGCTAATATTTTCTACAGAGACATTTTTCTTCTGTATGAAAAGTAAATTAGATTTGTGTTATTGTATTTCATATGTTGAGTAGTCTAGATACAGGCTTTTACTATTTCCTGTTAAATGCTTAGCAAAATTCATCAAATCGTATTTAAAAGAAATCTTGATTGAAGGTTTAAATTCTGATTTGTTTTGAAGTTCTGTCAGTAGGATACTCTAAATTATCAAGTGCTAATATATTCTAAGCCCAGTGTTTCAAACCTTCTGTAAAGATTCTTTGTGAAATCGCACATTGCACATCTGTGGTATTTTAGACTTTTTAACAAGCTACAGAGAAAAAATTGAGAGTTTGTTGAATCAGTCTATGTATACAGAAAAGGGTGGTTTTTGGCATTAGTTTTCTGCAAGGAATTTTTAAGGGCCAGCATTTATTTTAAGCCTAACTATTTTGGGCTCATGCTTATGAAAGTGCTCGTGTCTTTGGATTTTAGAGGCTGCAATAAGAAGAAGATTGAACAGATTGGGGAAAGCCTCCGGTGAGGGGAAAAGGAGTCTGAGATACTAATTCAAAATGTACAGAATAGAAACTCTTGGAAGTTGAAATCCACTCAGAATTGGCAGAAACGTAGGAATGGACACAGTGGGCCAAACTGGAGCTCCAGATGGTTTGCTGTGCTGTTTCAAATAGAGGATGATTGCAGGTCTGCTGGGAAAAGTACTGGAGTGGAACTGACGCCTCCACTGTGTTATCCAGCCTTCTAGTGATTTGTGACACTGGGACTTTATGAGCTGAGATGTCCTTCATTTTAATAGGTCAGGACAACTTTCTAAAGATGTCTTATTTCTATTTCTATTTAGAAGCTCAGTTATTTAATCTTTGTCTGGAATATGTTGGGGTTTTTTCTTTTTCTTTTTCTTTTTCTTTACTGTGATGATTGACCTCTGTAGAAGCTTTCTTGGAAAAAGTGTTAGTGTGAATGGCACAGTTAATAATTCAGTTGTTTTTGTACTTGAAGCTTTATGAATTCTGATGTAAAATCCTTCTCTTGAAGCTTCAGTTTGAGGCATATCTTCCTCATAAGAGGAGAAAAAAGGGTTGCCATAAACATAGTTCATTAAAAGCACTTCTAAATTCATGTAGCTTTTTTTAATGGTCATGCACTATTTGAAGATACGCTTTTACATCTTGATCGTCTGTTGGCCCTCTGGATGCTGGCAGACTTCCTCCTTTTGACATGTTCAGAAAGGATTTAGCATTAGTTGTTACGCCTTCAGCAAGTTTTTTTTCTCAAGTATTTTGGCCATTTTTCTCATGATTTTTTTTTTATTGAATATGCCAAAGTTGGTGGTTCTGAACTTGTCTGGGCATGACTTCAACTTTTTGAACAGTATTTTCTTACCTCTAACAGTCTCTTGGCCTTTTTGTTTAGCCACACTGTCTTTTGACTGTATTTTTTTTGGCTTTTCAAAAGATACTTCATGGTTTATAATGTGCAGGATATTGTAAAACTCA